AATAATATGCATTTTGAGATTAAGCCACTACGTTTTGACTTATTTGAGTTTTATTTATTTATTCGATATAAGGGTCGATTTATATATTTTCGGAGCCGTAGTTTTTGAAAATTAAGTCCATTTTGAGATTCCCACCCCCTCCGCCGTGATGATGGTTCCTGGGCTTCGTCAGATGAGAATACAGCAGAAGAGTTTGCTGAGCATCTATCGTACACATTCACTCCTCATCCTGAACTCCATCCCTCCCATACTGCTGAAGTTAAAAAATTCTTCTCTTCACCGATTCCTCTCTCCTTATCTCCTACAGCCGTCAACCCCTCTGAGCTCAAATTCCTTTTAAAGAACCTAAAACCTCGCAAATCTCCAGGACACGATCTCCTTACTTCCCAGATCCTCAGACAACTTCCCAAAAAAAGCAATTATATTCCTTACATACCTATTCAACTGTATCCTCAGCACAACCCACTTTTCTCTGGTGTGGAAACATTCCATAATTATCCTCTCTCCTAAACCAGGTAAACCTGTTAATTATACATCATCCTATAGACCGATAAGCTTACTTCCGATCCTTTCCAAAATCTTTGAGAAAATCCTTCTCAAACTCATCCTACCCATACTCGAATCCCACAATATCCCTTCCCATTAGTTTGGATTCCGCTCAAGACACTCCACTGTCCAACAAGGCCTTCGCGTTGTGGACCACATATCCTCTGCACTTCAAAACAAGCAATATTGCACTGGTGCCTTTCTGGACGTAGCTCAAGCTTTCGACCGGGTGTGGCACGATTGCTTGCTTTTCAAGCTCAAAACCCATTTACCTCAACCCTTGTATCTAGTCCTCAAATCCTACCTTTCAAATCGCTCCTTTCAAGTCCGCTGTGGCACTGAACTCTCCAAACATTATCCAATTGAGGCTGGTGTTCACACAAGGCAGTGTCTTGGGCCTACATCCCCTACAGACAGTTCTCTACATCCTTTTCACCGCTGACATCCCTTCAAGTCCTGATACCTTCCTAGCAACATTTGCTGATGATACTGCCATCCTATCCTCCCACTCGGATCCTCTAATAGCGTCCCAGAACCTGCAAAGACACCTCTCCTTCATTGAGCAGTGGTGCAACAACTGGCGCATCAAAATTAATGAATCAAAATGCAAACATGTAACTTTCACTCTTCGACGCAGATCATGTCCGCCAATCCTTTTTAATTCAATTCCTCTTCCCTACTCAGACACAGTCCGATACCTTGACTTCCTTCTGGACAAAAGACTGACTTGGAACCCACATACGAGACTTAAAAGACAAGAGCTTAACCGACGATTTGGTCAGCTATATAGACTACTAAACAGAACATCTCATCTCTCAACAGAAAACAAATTATTAATCTACAAGACCATACTGAAACCTATCTGGACCTACGGACTTGAGCTGTGGGGGACAACTAAATCATCGAATATCAAACGAATCCAATCCTTCCAGTCTAAAGTCCTTCGAACAATAGTCAATGCTCCATATTATGTCACGAACAAGACCCTACACCATGACCTTAACATCCCATATGTCCATGACATCATCCCATCCAGATTCTCCAACTTTCACCAGAACCTCATTTATCATCCCAATCCTCTAGCACAATCCCTATCCAGCTCCGAGCATCCATACCATCCCCCTCGAAGGTTGAAACGGCAGTGGCCTCGAGATCTTTTATAAATATGACTCCAAAGAGTCCTGGCAATGGCCAGCTTCTCCACTCATGTCCTGAGTGTCTGTGGCTCTAGTGCTCTCTTTCAGTCTCCACTGGCTTTTAATACTAGTGATGCGGCTGGAAAAGTGGCACTGGGATCTTCCGGAGTTTTGCTTTGCCTTCCACGTGTGAGGGAAAAAGCCTGGTTCGGAGATTCTTGGGCGAATGTATATATTGTATATAGTTATGATTGTGTTTAGAAGTTTTTACTTTATTTTATTTGTTTATTATTATTATTTTTTTTTTTTTTTATTTACCTTCTTCATCAGTATTATTTATTTACTTCTTATATTTATATTTATTTCTTTATTATTTGTATATATTGTATGAATGAGAACTTTTAGCCCTAATGCTTATAGCCCTCCAGCAGTGGCTGATTGTATTATTATTCAATAAATAGATTAAAAAAAAAAAAATTTGATAATACGCCACAGCGTTCCAACTTATTTGAGTTTTTCGGATTTCTTCCATACAAAGGTCTATTTATCTGTTTTCGGAGCTATAGTTTTCGAAAATAGTCTATATCTTATGATCACACCACTGCATTTGTATATTTGTGTTTTTCGGATATTTATTTAATTCAGTTAGATCATCATGTTTATTAGAAAAGAAGGTGATGAATGATCTCAAGATCATTTGATAATGTCACATTCGTAATTATTTGTGATCTTGTATGTGCTGAAAAAATAAGTTAATTTTATCTTTTACATTTCAAATTTAATGCAGGGATTAATAACCACTATTCCATCTAGATTAAACTGGCCGTTTAAGGCTTTTTCCAAATATTTCTTGAATTTTTTTCCTTCCTTTTTCCAAAACTTTTCTAAGAAACGCAGTGCCATATTCTTAAAAGGAAATCATTTCCAAAATCTACTGCTCTGAAAACATAATTGGACCCTTATATATTAAAAATTCGAAAAACTTAAATAAGTCACACCGCAGCGGCATAATCATAAAATGTACCCAATTACAAAAACTACGGCTCCGAAAATATATAAATAGACCCTGATATGGAAGAAATCCGAAAAACTCAAAAAAGTCGCAGCACAGGGGCGTAATCTCAAAATAGACATCAGTTTCAAAAACAATGGCTCTGAAAATACATAAATAGGCTCTTATATCAAATAAAAATAAAATTATTCGAAATTTATTTTAAAAAACTCGAATAACAAATAAAAAGATGATAGATAACTTGAATTTATTGATTGTCTAGACAAAAGATAAACCGAATTATTCATTATTCGTAGTTTAAAGTTCGATTAATTATTCGTTACCTATTATCTATTATTTAAAATAAATTTTGCCTAACACTGCATATTAGATGCATGTAAACTAAATGCAAATCATCACCATTTTAAACCATACTTATATTGCGTAACTATGTTTTTATTTGACTATTTCCTGGTCATATGAGTTTTCATTGAGTCATAACTATCCATTTATGGAAAAGATATGTCAGACAATTTTGATGACGCAAACATGTCCTAGTTAGATTTTAATGGCTAACAATTACATTTTTTATAACAGAATTAATAGGATATAAAATGCTTGGTTACAGTTAATAAATGAAATCTCTTTTCTTAATAGATCATTTATTTTAATTTCAAAATTCACTTACAAAGAAGCAACAATGGACAGATTGGAACATAAGTTTTCTTTAGTACAAAGAAATTTCCATAATTTTATTAAAATAAATTTTCAAAACAAAGTAAATAGTTTTTTTTTAAAATTCTAAATGATTTTTAACACCACTTTTTGGTATTTTATGAACATTAATTAAATATTTATACTACTTAAAACCAATTACATTTAAAATTGGGATTTTTTTGTTTATTTATTATTATTATTTTTTAACATACAAGAAGAAAATCTGTTACAAGTACTTATGCATTGAAACAGTAATAACTAAAATACATAATACAGGAAAATTTAATATAATATGAAGCAGTTATTACAAAGACGAATAATTCATTCAGTGTTTCAAAGAAATTCACATTATAACACATAATCCTATATGATAGTTAATAGAAAAGTCTATTCTTTGATTTATTTACAATATCAAATCAGAAAGCATGGGGAAATAATTTCTTATAATTCACTTTTTTCACAACGGTAATATTTTCAATTAACAATAAATATCATTTAAAATTATATAACAATTAACAAAAATGAATATCTCATAAATAAAAACTTGTTGGAAAGATATACTTTACAAGCATAGAATAGAAAAATAAAATGCTACAGTAAAAAGAACTTTAAATTATCTTCTTTCTTTATTTTTTTCATTACATTTTATTATCCCAAAAAATTGAAAGCATAAAACAATAAACGTTTTCTGCTGGATATTTTTTCTTTCTTTTTTTTATATTTTTTTTAATTATACATATATAAAGGAATTACTAGAGTATCCTACTTTAATCAATTTAGAAGTTTTACATTTTAATAATAAGATTTTCAAATTTAATTGTAAATCAAAGTTATTAATTGATATATACACATATATTAACTCCATTGCTAAGAGCTCATTCTGTTGTTATGGGTATATATTTGTTTTCTTTTTTGTTTCAAAGTCGAAGCCTATATAAAATAAAATATTTTTACAGGTCTACATATTAATGAAAACACCTATTTTCTTTGTTCTCCTATTAGAAACCATACCATACATGTAAATAAGAAGCCAAAGCTATTGTATTTCAGAAGCTGAATAAAGGGATGACACAGCATAGAAAAATCATATCATTAATGAATCATTCACAAATATTTTATTTCAATAAATCATATATAAATATTTTTTAGTTAGACGAATTCGGGTGAAAATCTCATACCCTATATACATTAAAAAATTAGTTAAATTTTGCTACCAATATTAGTTTGATAAAAACATCAATCTAAGAAAAAAGTTTTAAAATACATATGAACCAAAAATTAACATCTTGAGTTCATAAATCGTTTTTTTTTTTTTTTTTCACTGTGTTGTACAAAATATACATATACAGGTAATTAGTATGTTTATTAAAGTAATATGTGACTAATACTTCATAAAGAATGACTTGGATTACAATAAAATACTTTTGATAAATGTGGCACATGAAGTCCATTATCTAATCTATAAAATATAAAACTGAAGTCATGACAAGCTTTTAGTAGTCACAAGATGGAAGGTGAACTTTTCTTCACTGACAAATGTTCGGTAAAATATTTGGCACAGTTGCTCTCACAGGCTGACTAGTATAACAAAATTTGAGCCACTATATAAATTATACATATTCATTTGTACCAGGACTTGTTAATGGTTCATGAGCCTAAAAGGAAAAAAAAAAAAAATTAAACAGAAAAAAAGAGATATTTAAAAAATATGAATAATGAAATATAAATAACAAACATGCATTAATCATATACATATTTATAATTAATAAACCATGCACTAAAGCTAAAGTTCAACAAAAAAGATGTGATTATCATAAAGATACCATAGTATTTAAAAAGCATTATTTAATTTTTAGTAAAACAGTTTTAATATAAACAATTAATTTTAAAAAATGTTATAATTAGCTATAATAATAATTACTTCTTCAGTGACAGTAGCAGTATAAACACGCTGTGGTTGATAATGACTTTTGGCCAGTGAAAATTGATCTTCTGTTGTTTTTCGGTAAACTGGATTATCAAAATTCATACTTGTCACATTTCTGTGTAAATAATGGCGATACACAATAAAAGCAATCTAAAACATAATAATTGTATAAAATTAAAAGTTATTATTTCCTTCATTAACATAATTTGAGTTTTCCTGTACATATTAACATTAATAGATCAAATAACAAAAACAGAAGTAATTTTAAGATAAATATTATTGATATAAAAACAGACTTTCTGTATAAGATATTTCTCAACAGAAAGTAGATTTTTTATACTTAAGCTGTAAATTATATTCAACCTGACTTGACCATGAGACTCAGGATTACAAATAGTGAATATGTCTGCAAGCTAGGAGAAAAATAAGGGAAAAATCTCGCACAAATCAGACAGCTCACACAATGCAAAAATGAATCAGATGGATTGAGGCTCTTCCCACTGAAAAATATATGGAGGAAGTGAAAGAAGAAGAAACCATGCATTAATCTTTTGGGGATATATCATGTGCTTGCCAGATAGTCTCCCGTACACTAGGCATCCATGGTCAAGGTTAGTGAGAATGAAGGAAGAAACAATTAGGTGACGGGTACTTAAGGGAAATGAATCACGGAATTATGAAATGAAATGATGAAATGAAAATAGATTTTTATTATCCTGGGACTTTTGTCCCTTTAGAACAAATTATAGATACACAGGAAATGCCTGTGTGGCCATAAAATTAAATTAAATATTTACAATGCTCATTAAAATAAAACTATTGGAAGAAAAATAAAACAAAACCACTAAATACATACAGATATATACAATACAAACATGTCAAAATAAAATAACACAATTAAACAAAACCATTTCTGGGAGAACTTAAATAGTTCTCTTATCTACTTTTCATGATCAATCGGGTGGGGAAAGAAGTAGGTGCTTAAAAAGGAGGGATTTAAATGAGGAAACTGATTGTGCATGTCGGATATCGGGAGGGATGGTATTCCAGGTGGAGACGGCTTGAGTTATAAAGGATTTGTCAAACGCTGCAGTTCGGTGGGGAGGTGGATAGAGGTCGGAGGTACGAGATCTAGTGAGACAGGATTGAATGGAATATTTGAATTGTAGGTTGTGAAAAAGGTAGGAAGGCCACTGAGTTCTGATGACTTGGTATAGAAAAGTGGCAAGGAAGTACAAACAGCGGTTGGATGGATAGAGCCACTTCAACTTGGTGTAATACTGGGTTATATGCGTATCCCTTGAGATTCCGAAAACAAAACATATTGCGCAGTTTACGGAATGAAATTATGCTGTTTAAGGAGTGAGATGGAGCTTTGAGAAATTTTGGAAATATGGTTATTCCAGTTTAGGATATTGATGAAAGGTAACTTCGAGGTTTTTTATAGTTTTGGAATTGAATAGAAATATTGTTGAGATATAGTAATGAATAATAAGGAAGAATCTTGAGAAAGGGTCTAGAACTAAAGAGAATTGACTTAGTTTTTGCTGGATTAAGACTCAAATTATTTTCGAAGCCCAGCGGTTAATATTATTATATTAGTGTTATCTTAGAGCTTAAAAGACACCTCGAGCATATAGGAAGGGTGAAAGGAAATGCATATTAGTAGATCATCAGCATACAAATGGTACTTGGAATGATGGATAAAATTAAGTAGTTCATTTATAGAGATGGAAAATAATGTTGGTGAGAGGGAAGATCCCTGAAGAACACCTCTAGAGAGGAGTAGTGATGATGAAGGTTTGTTAGGAATAGTGATGGTTTGAAGCAATGATACAGAAAGGAGTGGGACCAGCTTAATGCACTATTCGAGTAACTGGAACGGACACCTGATTGGAAAGGATTAAAGATTGCATTTTGCTCAAAGAAGGAGGTAAGTTGAGAATAAAGAATTATTTCCAGAGGTTTAGATAACTCTGAGAGATTGAAAATGGGTCTGAAGTCAGAGGCTAACGAAGGAGAAGATAACATATTCAGTAGATGGACTATCACATTTTCCTGGCAGTAGGAAAATGGAGTTTTGGAAGGAAAATTGTACATGTGGAGGAGAGCAGGGTGGATAAAAGGAAGACAGAGTTTAATTGTTTTTACCAGAATTAGTTCATTACCATAATCATTTGTTCCGGATTTGTTTACAGAAGCAATCAAGTCTCCAGGAGTAATATGAAGGAAGTAAAAGTGACCAGGATTAAATGACCATTGAGGGATTGAAAAGGGAAGAGGGTTGCTGATTGGATCTTGACATGACATGATGGAGTTAAAGACTCCATGGAATCTCAGCTGCTCCACATTATTTCAAAAAAAGCAAACATGACTTTACACACACCGATGTTTCAAATTCCATTTGACAAGGAGCAATTGGAGGCCGGACTATTTTATTTAAATAAATAAATAATAAAAGGCTTAGCGAACCCGAAGGTTCGATGCCGACACCAACAATCGCTTATTACACACCTCTCTCCAGAGTTCACTGTCCAAACCCAGTCACTTCAGATCGGCTTTAATGCAATCTTCCCACCTTCGCTTCGGTCTACCCCTTGGACAATTACCATTCGGTAAAGCAAATATTAACTTTTTAGGAATTCTCTCACTACTAAGCCCAACAATTTTACAAGCCCATTTGATTCGTTGGGATGAAATAACCTCAATTATATTACCCGGATACAGTTCATACAATTTGGCATTTTGTAACCGTCTGAACTCTGCGTTTAATTCATCCTTCTTCGATCCAAATATTTTATGGAATACTTTATTTTCAAAAACCTTGAGACGTTGCTCATCCCTTAATGTAAGCGGTCATGTTTTGCATCCATAAAAAACTGTAGGTAAGATAATGTTTTTATAGATTCTAATTTTTAAGTTCTGGGACAAGAGGCGCGAGCTAAGTAGTTTTGTAACAGAAAAATATATAGTTTTGTCACAGAAAAATATTTGATTTAAAACAGTAATTAAATAACAAATTTTTTATTATATTCATTTACCGCAAAACAACATTTTACATTATTATTATATTAAGAAATGAGTAACATCTTGTAACCTAAACCCTTTTCCTAGTGTATGAAAACGTCATTGGAATTCTTTTTCTGAGCTTTCATTTTTTCAATCCACACATATTATAGGATATAGACTGCGCAGAACGGATAAGATCCAGGCAAGATGATACGCCCAGGCCACTTCTGGTAAGATTCATCAGGCAGTCGCTCAGGGATGAGTTGGTCTGGAAGCAAGGTCAATAAAACAACCAAGTTCACTCAGAAATGGGTGGTGGAGAAACTTGAAACGTGACGTAAGGACCAAACCGCCAGACCTACCTATTACTCTTTCAAGCCCATTAATGAAGGTTTATTTCAACATTATTGTGCTTTTTTTTCTTGTTTAAATTATTGAAAAGAATACGTGAAGATAATTTCAAGTAGATAAATAAATACGACTAGCAATCTAGAATAAAATGCTATGAAAATTACAGGCTAGACCTGAAACGAAAAGAACGAAATTGATATTAAGATTACAAAGTCATATACTGTAAAAAATCTACAAATACCAGAAAAAGTCTTTTTATTTATCAAAATTACATAATATAAATTACAAAACAATACAAAATAATATTTTTGGATTTAAAACCTAAAATCAGACGTGCTACATGGTCTGTTGACCAAAGCTCTCCCTAGAGAATGGAGAAGTTATAGCATCAACAAAGCCAGGTGAAACTATAAAGTATTTAGGATGTGCGTTCTCGGGAGAGCTGGTATTAAATGAGGAAATGGTGACCACATTAAACAACAACTTAGACAAATTGGTTAGCTCTTGCCTTCTTAAGCCGGAGCAGAAGATCAACGTTGTAAACCAGTACGTGTTCCCGGGACTTACTTACCCTCTTCAGAGGGCGCCCCTCACAAAGATACGTCCTGCGATATTGGAAGGAATCGATACAAATATCCGCAGGAGTGTCAAGGCCATTATCGGGCTCCCTGCTAATGCATTAACGGCGATGTTTTATGCACCGAGGAGGTTTCGTGGATTGGGACTGATCCGCTGTCAATGGGAGGCTCCTTTGCAGTATTGGTCCATTGCCCAGCGGCTGTCTAATGATGTCCGGATTCCCTGTTTGATTATAATGCGGATTCCCTGTTTGATTACAATATTCCACATTTGATTATAATGCGGAAATCGCGGAATGTGCGGAAAGACTGGGAGTGGATCAGGGCCACCGAAGCGTGAGAGCTCTACGACAGTCGCTGAGAGAAAACTCTTTTGAAGAATGGGCCAGCTGCAGGTGGCAAGGCGTTGGAGTTCGACACTTTAAAGAGACCCCGAAAGCCAATAAATACATATGCCAGAAAAAAGTGCTTTCGGGGTCGGAATGGCCCAACGCCTTAAAACTAAACATCAATTACGCACCTTTACGCGGAGTCCCAGGAGCCAGTGGACAGTCGAAGGAAGTTGGGTCCCTCTGTCGTAAATGCGGCAGAGATTCGGAAACACCAGCCCATGTGCTGGGAAAATGCCCCAACAATTCCCTCCTCATAACACGCCACCACTGGGTAAAGTTTGAGGTGATGAGGCTCCTTAGAGAAAAGGAATTCACCTGCTTTGACGAGGTCTATTGCATAGACAGTGAAGGCTCTACAAGATATGCGGATATTGTCGCGTTTCCCAGAACAGGAAGGACAGCGCTAATCTTGGATCCAACTGTCCGCTTTAAGAGCAACGACCTCGATCAGGCGGGTGAAGTGGAAAGGGAAAAGAGGAATATATACGACAAATGCATCCCTTTCCTAAAAGAGAAATTACGCGAGACCTTCGGAGAGAGAGAGTTCACCGTGAGAGGCCTCTGGTTTGGGTCTCGCGGAACGATCCCGGAAAGAACAAGGAGCTTTCTCGAGAAACTAGGTGTTGATGTTGGGGAGCTCGCAGTATTGACCGAAAATATTATTTTGGACTCCCTGGGAATCATCCATTATCATATCTATACCGATTGAGGACATCTGGTAATAACTGTTTATTAAATTTTGAATTGATCCGCTGTCGTCCTGTCTTTTTGTCTACATTCTGGGAATTGCTGTGTTGTGTATGTGTGCGATGTTGTAATGAGTTCCTGGCGTTTGAAAATTTAAAGAGAGAAACAGGGAAATAATTTTTTTTTTTTTTTGTCTTGGAAAAATGTTTATAGTGCTATGTATATTATTTAATATGGTTTTATTATTGATAACTTGTAAGTGTATTGTTATGAGGGGGAAGAGGAAAAAGAGAGAAAGAAAGGAAAGATATGACATATATATGTATAAAAAATAGAAAAATGAAATATAAAATTAATGTCCTTGTGGATTGATAGGTATAGGTATGCTGTGTACGAAGCAACCCTATGTAGTAGGGCAGCATTACTTTTAATAAAGTATTTCTCTCTCTAATAGTTTATTTATTTATAATAGAATACCTGATCTAAGGTGAAACGTGAGATTAAATAAAACAAAAATGAATTTCTTTAATGAGATTAAAGAAAACGAAAACTGAAGGTTGAACGGAGATGAGTAAGTATATTTATAAGACAATTAAGGAGATGGTGTAATGAAGAGGTAATGAACATTAAATAATAGTGGAGTATTAATGATCTATTTGGAAAGCGTGATGACAGAAAACGAAAAAGAATTAAAAATAAAGAGGAAGTATAATGTAATAAAGTATAAATAAGGATAAATATAGTATAAAAATATATAAATATGGTATAATAATAATAAACTTCTAAATAATTTATACAAGAATAAAAAAAAACTGAAAATTAAAATAAAAATATTTCCGATGAGAAAAAATGTATAAAAAACATAAAAATAAAAAAAAAAGCTAAATTTATACAAAAATAAAAAAACCTGAAGATAGAAAAAAATAAAATAAAAATATTTCTGGCAAGAAAAAATAAATTGATTACAAATTCAGAGTCACTTATACACAGCGTTCAGCTGAACTACTGGGTATACTGAACTACATTACTACTGGGTATCCATCTGATAGTCTGCAACGAATTTTACCCCCACTAAACCAGACATTTTATTTTTGCAGTCCTCTTCTGCCTGGTTAACCAATAAAGGTGTTTATTGGCGGACGTCATGGCTTTGCTCAAGTAGACACAGTGGGAGTTGTTCTCTCACCAGCCTAGATGGCGTGTAGAGAATATGTATCATTAAATTTAAAAATCGGTCCAGCTGTTTATTCATACAAATGTTACATACCTATTAACAAATGTTACATACCTATTAAGCGAATTGATTTAACACATTTTACATAATAATATGTTCATGTTTTAGTTAATTAATTAAGTAATTATGTTTATGTAATCATGTTAATTATGTAATTTAATTTCTTTCGGAAAAACGCAGAGCAAGATCGAAGTGGCATAGGACTAGATACCCATCAGACAAGTCATATTACAATAAGTTAACTAACCAACTAAAAGCTGAAATTAGGAAATACAAAATCCAAAGTTTACTTAACTTAACAGAAAATCTAACAACTACTGACAAATCACTATGGTTGACCACTAAAAAGCTCTTAAAATTCAAAGATTTTAACCACCCGCTTCTTACCGAAACCCAAACCTGGTCTAGATCTGATGAAGAAAAATCTGAAATATTTGCTCAGCACCTCTTCAAAACATTTAATCCACACCCAGATATCCTAAATCCAATCCACCTTGAGTGTATTGAAGCAGAACTCGATATTCCACTCCAATTGACCCTTCCACCTAAAGCATTTCATCCTTCAGAAATATCCAATATCATTCACAGATTACCTTCCCGCAAAGCTCCTGGCCATGACCTAATCACATCCCAGATCCTAAAACTGCTTCCTCAGAAAGCCATATTATTCCTCACCTATATATATAATGGGGTACTCCGAACTACATATTTTCCTGACTCTTGGAAACTATCCATAGTCAAAATGATACCGAAACCCACAAAGCCGCCAGAATACCCATCCTCTTACCGTCCTATCTCTCTTTTACCCATTATGGGCAAAATCCTAGAATAAATCATCTTAAAACGCCTGTATCCCATCCTAGATTCTAATAACATAATCCCAGATCACCAATTTGGATTCCGTACATCTCACTCCACTATTCAGCAATGTCATCGTGTGGTAGACGTGGTTTACTCTGCATTGGAGCGCGGAATGTACTGCACAGGAGTCTTTCTCGACGTTGAACAGGCGTTTGATAGAGTCTGGCATCCGGGACTGATGTACAAACTCCGTAAATTCCTACCACCTGCATACTCCCTCATTATCCGTTCCTACCTTAGTGATAGATACTTCAAAGTAAATCACAAAAATGTCTGTTCATCTCTTTTATCTCAATTTGCTGGTGTTCCTCAAGGTAGTATCCTAGGTCCTATCCTTTACACAGTTTATACAGCTGACATTCCAACCCATCCCAACACTGTCATCACCACCTATGCCGATGACACGTGTATCCTATCAGTTAACAACGATCCATCAATTGCATCCCAAACTCTCCAATCATACATCACAAATCTTGAAGAATGGTGTCAAAACTGGAGGATTAAAATAAACTCCAATAAATCCCATCAAATTACCTTTACCCTGCGTCGCAAACCTATGACCTCCTGTCCTACAGTATTCTTTAACAATTCCCCACTTATCCCAGTTGAACAAATTCGTTACCTAGGACTCCACCTCGACAAACGACTCACATGGAATCCTCATACAAGACTGAAACGACAAGAAACCGCTCGACGTTTCCGACTACTCCAACACTTACTAGACAAACGCTCTAAGCTTTCACTCAATTACAAACGACTCATATACATGACAATAATAAGACCTATTTGGACCTACCGAATTGAGCTCTGGGGCTCCACTAAGCCATCGAATTCCTCTCGTATCCAATCCTTACAATCCAAAATCCTTCGTAAAATCCTCAACGCTCCTTACTTTGTCACAAACAAAATCATCCATAAAGACCTTAATGTTCCATATGTTTCCGATTTGGCCCAATCCAGATACCTATCCTTCCATAACAAACTGCAGAACCATCCGAACCCTCTTGTTTCAAACATTGCTTCCTCCTCTATCCCTGATAACCCTCCGAGGCCTCTGAAAAGAAGATGGCCTCGGGATCTTCTAATATAGAACTTTAATTTGAGTTCTACCAATGGGTAGTTTCTCTTCATATTTTACATGTCATGTTACCAATGTCACATTTACCTGTTGTATTTTTAATGTAATACAGTTGTAAATTTCAATAAAATTATAAATAAAAAAAAAATTTCTTTCATTGTGCATATTTAATAATAATAATAATAATAAGGCTTAGCGAACCCGAAGGTTCGATGCCGAAGGTTCATTGTGCATATTTACTATCCTAAAATTTATTTACAAACACCTTTCACCGTCCATAAAAAATATATAAATATATTTACTTACCAATGAAGCAAGAACTAAGAATGCTGAAATACCAGCGATAACCATACTGGCAATCATTCCATTATCTTGTTCATCAAACATGTCTGGGTGTATATGGTTTTCATCATTACGATCTGAAACCAAATTAAAATAAATAAAATACAAACAGAATATTACTATATTACTATTTGCTTATTTGTTTCCAGGAATTGCACCCATACAATGGATTCATGAGCATAACAAATATAATTGACAAGTAATTACAAAATAATCAATTTTAAAATAATAATGCTTAGGAAAAATATTTTAAAATAAGATTATCATAGATTATGATAAATAAAAAATATTCTTTTTATCTAACATTAAACAATTAAAAAATAATTTAAATTAATTAAATTATTAGTTTATAAAAATATTTTCAAAATCATAATAAATAAGATCAATGAAAATTTTAAGATAATTAATTTTAATAATAAACAAAATACAAATAGAAAATATGACTACTATTTGTTTATTTGTTTCTGGGATTGGTTCCATATATTGGCTTCATGAACATAATAAATATATTTGACAAATAAATGACAAAATAATTAATTTTAAAGCATTTGATGACAGAAAATATAAATAAAAATATATACGTTCTGCTTAGGAAAAATATATATGTTTCAAGTTAAATTAATTTCAGTTACTTGTTAAAAAATACATGGGTCACATTTACGTCGCAGGACAGTAATGTCAAATTACAACCTGAATGCAGTTAAATATATTTTTTTTCGTAATCTTTCCTGTTGAAAGAATATTTATCATTCGTTGTTTAGTAAAAATTTTAATTGTAAATTTTATAATTAAAAAGTTAAATAATGTTTTCTCTACTGTGTTCTCCTTAGTACTGTCACATTCCAGATGTACATGTAAATGATTAGTATGCCCACATTAGTAACTTCCTACAATAACTATGAAGATTGCTAAGAAGTAAAAAACATGCTATTTCTCTATATTTTTCTTTAAAAAAATTGTTGCCCGAATATGATAGTAAACTAATCAAGCCCTGATAGATCAAGTCATTAAATGTTGCAAATGGAGATGGCTGGAGCACACGCTTAGAAATGAGAACAGAGACATAACATGGCAGAGTCTGGAGTGGAACTCACAAGGCCAGCGAAGACGAGGATGACCTAGAGAAACATGAAGGAGGACTCTAGAAAAGAAAACTGGATAGACCTGGTCTAGAATCAAGGAACTGGCTAAAGATTGAGATGCATGGCAGAACTTCTTGACTGTCCTATGTCACACCTAAGGGATTCAAGGAACTAATAATAATAATAACCACTCATGAGTAGTTGGTAGTCTCCCATCAGGTGCCTCCCCAGGTGGCGGATACGGGAATACTCACCAGATATGGTGGGTATGGTCAGCGTCTGTTCCCCATGTCATGAGAGGCTGCTTAAATCACCTGGGAGGAAGATCTAAAATGCACCCCACCCATCAACATGGAGTTACAAAACAGAAGAATAGCCTCGGATGAATCAGCAGACAGTGTGAGCGGTGCCCTGATGCCGTATGGAACCATAAGACCGGCTACTCATGGAACTGTATCTATATCTGATTTGCGCTTGGAGGCTGATAAGCCTGCCGCACAAAGAAGAGTGCCGCAACGCCAAAGAAATGAACAACAATAAATGAAATGGACTTGCAAGTTGAACGCGTCAGCAATCCGAGCTTATTTCTTGGAAACTGATAAAATTGGATACAGATCTCGAATCACTAACTACTGGAATGAAGAAATCTCACATATTCAAGTCTCTTCTCAGGGTATCACTGATCAGGTTAAACAGATATTCAAGCAGGAAATTTCTTTCAATGGCTGAGATCCACAATATAAAAGAAGAGGTAGCACGTAGGCTAAACTTGAACCACAGGATTTCCTGCCATTACAACCACAAATCATTGAGGCTGTCACTCAAGTGAATCAGGAAGAGCTGGCCCTTATGGAGGAACCAGTGAACACAAATAATATGGAACAAGCAAGCATCCATACCAGCTTTATTACGTAACATTTAAAATTCCAGAGAATTTCTCTCAAAAGTCGTTGTACTGTCATCCCTAAAGTACCATATTCTAAACTACCACTTCAAACTGTTTTAGCAGTAGATAATCTCTTGCAAGAATATATAACAACCGACTGTGACATCGATGAAATCAGACACTGGATATATATAGCAGCAAAGATAGCTGTGAAACAATTGGGACTAATAAGAGAAGTAGATTCGCCAAAAGGGAAGAATATTTCTGATGTTAAGAATTTTGATCCACCTTGGAGGAGAAGGCTGAAGGATAAAATTTATGAATTGCGCAGAAAATTTGGAGTTCTCACCAACTATCTCAATAATTCTGACAGAGTATCGGTGAAGTTGAAGACTGTTATTGATGAGCTCATTGTGAAACACATAGGTACTGTCACTAGATCTCAACTTAATTCAAAGCTGTCAGCACTCTCAGAACTCCTGAAACAAAAACTTGCATTTTATGCTATCAGGGTCAGAAGATATACAAAAGCTGAACATCTTGATGATTTTGATGTTTCTAGTTATTGGAAAAACATTTGGGCAGTCCAATAAACTACAACAAGAATGCTTTCTGGCTTTGGAATTTGCAAGATGAAACACAGAATGTTCCGATTAAGGATGCAATGCATATTAATGCTGATGATATACAGGAATCTATGAAGAATACACATAGCTGGAAAGCACCAGGGTCAGATAAAATTCAAAACTATTGGCTCAAACACTTGAAAAGTGTCCATGGACCATTAGCCTCTTACTATCAGAAACTAATGTGCAATTGAGTTACACCTCCAAAGGACTTCTGCTTAGGAAAGACACACTTCATTCCGAAACAAAGAAAAGAATCCCCAGAACCAAAAGAGTATCGACCAATAACATATCTTAATGATGTTTACAAGTTTTGGCATCCATAATCAGTAATAAACTAATGGGGCTTGTACAAAAGAACAACCTTATGGAACAGGAGCAGATTGGATGTAAGTGAAACTCTAAGGGATATAAAGAGCTTCTTGTAGTCGATTCGTTCATAGCTTATCAAGTATCAAAAAGTCGATCTTTTGTGGATTCACTATCAGAATGCATTTTACTCTGTCCCTTATGACTGGTTGATTGAAGTTCTCGATCGAAAAGTAATAGATCTATTGCAACGACTTATGAAGCTATGGGAAGTATCATTGGTATATCCAACTTAAAAGAATCCCGTTGTCTCAGAGAACATTCCCATAAAAAAAGGAAGTTTTTAGGGGGATTTGTTAAGCCCTTTATGGTTCTGCCTAGCAATTAATCCTCTAACCTCTATTTTAAATCAATCTGAAAAAGGTTATTCTCTGAATTAGGAAACAATAATTTCTCACTACTTTTATATGGATGACTTACAGCTCTATGCAAAGAACGAGAGAGGCATGAGAACATTTCTTGAGTTGGTAAAGTCATTCACTGAAGATATTGGGATGAAGTTAGGAACAGACAACTGTGTAATCCTTAATGTCCCAGAGGAAGATATAAGGATTTAGCTAATATTGAACTTAATAATAGTGATGTCATCAAGCAAATTCAGTTAACTGACTCCTGCAAGTATCTTGGTATCTCACAGCTAATTAAATTCAAAATAGAGGTCAAATAAACCTTTGAAGAAAAATTTAAGAAACACGTCAGGATCCTCCTAAATACTAATTTATCAGCAGGAAATTTAGTAAATTTCCTTGATTAAATTTAGTAAAAGCCTTGAATACTTGGGTGATTCCTGTTGCTACATATTCCTTTGGAGTAATAAAATGGACCGCTTATTAAGAACGGAAATGATAAAATCACAGCAACATCACCCAAATTCTTCAAAGCAAAAATCGTGCATCAGGCTCTGGCACAAAAATATAAATTAATAACAGGGCATCAGCCTTTTTATAGATATTGGGCGCAGACATTATTAGGAAAAGGGAATGTCAAGCTATACTGGGATCAAACTATGATAATTGACCATAGTATTCCCCACAATAGACCAGATATACTGCTCGTTGACAAAGAAACAAAGGAAGTCATCATTATCAAAGTTGGAGTTCCTGCTGTTGATAATGTAGCAAACACATTAAGTGAACAAATTTGGAAGTATCAAGAGCTATGCAAGGAATTAAGGCAGTTATACCGGCTGGTGGAAGTAAAAGTACTACACATTATTGTAACCAGCAAAGGCATGATTCCTGAAGAAACTCTAAAATCAATGAAGGTACTTGAATCAAGCTGGGAACTTTAGGAAATCTAGAAAGCTGTAATGCTGGGAACCGCCAGAATTGTTCAAAAATTTTTTAATATTTCAAATTAAATATTCAATAAACTGTAACCTTGATCTTGGTTTGGGACAGTGAATTTATCCGGCATAAAGCCAAGAATTGAAAAAAAAAATAATAATAATAAATGTGATATAAATTTTGAAATGACCCATATAGGATTCAAAAAATAAAAATTCAAAGTATATATATATATATATATATATATATATATATATATAAATTATATATAAACAGATTAATTAATCCATGTATATATTTTTAATCTGTTTATTTAATTTTAGTCTACTGACTTTATTTAACTATAACCTACTGACATTATTTAATCTGTGTATGTATTTTTAATCTATTTATTTAATTTTAACTTAATAACATTATTTTATCTGTGTATATATTTTTAATTTATTTTGAACATAAAGTCACAATTTTAGTTTAATTTAACTTATTTATACTTCTAACTAATTTATCATTTTTTGTTTACCCTATTTATAAATTGTTTTAACCTATTTATGAATTTGTTCTTTTAAAACCTCTTTAATGAAGTTTAATACTTTGAATTTCTGCATTTATTTTTTTTATCTATTAGGTATTATGCTGATTATTGATAGTTTTTTTTTTCTATGCAACTTTATCTATCCCATTATATATAAACATATTATTGTAAAGATAAAAACATATGGACTCAAATTCAAGTAATTTCAAGAGTTGACATAGGTCAGAAGGTATGGGTATGAAATCAGGAGGCCCAATCCAAGAAGTAGTGGTGACCTCCGTGATGTCTATGGCTGC